TTTAATTAGCATTAATGAGAAATTTTAATTTGATAAATATTTCAGATTTTCTGTCAAAATTATGACAACTACAGCTGGATTCGTTAGGACAAAAGACATATTTCTGAAACAGCCACTGCAGTTATCTTTCCATATGCAGAACTGACACAAAGAGACAGAGGATTCATCATCCTAAAGCATACTTTTGATGGCCAGCTTTCTGCAAACAAGGTCTCTAGAGCCAAGCAGAAGAGAATGACTGTTTCACCACATCAACTGAGTAGGCAGCATTGCTATGACATGGAAATGAGAAATTAGCCTGATCCCTGTAATGATTAATGTCAGTATAGGGACTCCTAACCTAGTTTTCATTATGCCCCTATGTTTTTTATTTAGTGTACATATGGGCTAGAGGGTGGGGAAGTGATCCAAAGAAAACAGGAAACAAGTGGTGATTCTCCTTCTCTTTCTTCTCTTTGAGTTTTGTTTGTGTTTTCTGTGATAGAGAGAGAAAGAGAAGAGATAATGAAGGATTTTTATTTCCTTTCCCTGATGCAGCATGGGACAGCTTCTAGATCTAGTTTTCCCAGACAGCAGTTTCTAGCATTGGAAAGTTCTTAACTGCAGAAATGTTAGCCAGAAGGTAAGGAGATTGGGGCATATATTTTTCTGCTTATTCAAGGCTGACAGACAGTCCTTTGAAAATATTATCTGTTATCATCAACTTTAGAGCATATTATCTTGAACTTCAGAGCAAGCATGAAGTATATGTATTTACCCCTCAGCATCCGCACTGCTGAGTTCACTTCAGTGCAACAGAAAATCCAGTTTTCAGGACATTTGAAGAAATATTCCTAAATGCCTGGAGTGTTAAAAATCAAAAAATTGGTGCAGAAAATATCCATTCTGGCATGTTAGTCACTTTTGATCACTACCCACAGGCAAATGCTAATGAACAAAACTGTCAGATCTACTGCCGTCTGCTCATATACTCTAAAGGACAGTCCTCTTTATGATGCACAGGAGACACCTGCATTTGCAAATGCTGAAATTGGACAATTCAACTTTGTTGCTGAGATGGAACCTACCTGTATTTTTATGTGCTTGGGAGAGAATGAGTCCTACCTTTTCCACACAGCAATGATAGCAAGGAAGGAAGCTACAATATATTAGTATCCGTTCATCCTTAGATTAACTAACGCAACAAAGACTCTGTGTTGTACATTCTTTCTCATCCCACCCACTGTAGTCTACTGACATTTATAGTCTCTGCCAAAGTCTTTGTACAGACATCAAGGATCAGTGACAGTCTTTGTCTTGGCATCAAAAGGAAATATAAACTCTCTGAGGAAGGGAATACTCATATTTAATTTGATGAAAATCACAAATTCTTGTTGCTCTAAGAGAAACTGTAACTGGTAACAGGCAGCATCAAAAACCAAGGATGTGACTCTAGGTTCAGAGAGATGAAAATTATTAGCGACAAAAAATACACTAACATAAAATTGGTCTGAGTATATACGTTGTGTTACAAAGGAATCTGCAGCTATTTTCCTACCATTTGTGTTCTTGCACTGCTCTTGTTCCTTGCTCTGTGGCAACCAGTTTTTGCTGCAACCACTAAATTCTTACTGGAGATGAAGAGTCATTATAGCCATAACAATTCATGCCAGTTAATGATTTCCTTTTCCTACCTCTTAAATTTTAAAGAAACTCTTTTAGAGGAAGAAGCATGCTCAAATGCATCTTATACCTTTCCCTCCCCTCCACACTAACCTACAGAAATGGATACTCTCATATGTGGTACAACTCCTCTCTGAGGGCTTGCAGGCCATATCCAGCTGCCAGACTTTGAAGATGACAGGAAATCAGCATCAAGCCCTATTGAACAGATTAAAACATTTAATTCCTTGCCCCAGAGCCCAGTTTTGTCTATGTGGTGCTTCTACATCCAAATACAATCATTATGCTGGCTCATCATGAAAGAGTTCCTAAATCCAATAAAAACTGTAAGAGGCCTAAATTTGCTTTACAATCTAAAATATAAATTCAGATTTACATTTCAAAGCTCAGGGTTCAAATTAGTTGGAGAAAAAGAAAGTATTATTCCCCATTCCCAAACAGTTTCAGAACATTGTCCTAGAACAATATTAGTTTTTAAACCAATTTAATCTTGTAGCCAGAAAAAAAGCCTTGAAAGTCTTTATATATATTTAAAATTTCAGGTAAATGGTTGTTCTCTAAATGGAATTTTCTAAAAGGTGGAGGGGGTAGGAACAGAAAACTTGTAACATACTCTGGGGCATTCCCAGTTTAAAATGTGCATGCAGGAGAGATTTTGGCTAAATTAATGCTCTGTATACTCTTTACTAATGCTAACAAAGAATTGGAGAATGTCCTAGGACCTGAAACACCATGGTAAAAAGTAGATAAATGATAAATTGAAACACCTCTGATTGTGAAACAGATTAACTCTGCTGAGATATGATATAATGTTTAATTAATCACAGAAAAGGCTTTCAGGAGACCAACAGTGGCAGACCATACCTTGCATATTGTACCACTTACTATAAGGGAGTACCTCAAAACTTTTTTCCTGTGCAAAAAAAAATTAATTGGATTAACATAAGCTGGTGAAAGATGTAGCAAAATGCAATGACACATAGTTAATGGGAGTTGGACTTTGGTGATCCTTGTAGGTTTCTTCAAACTCAAGATATTCTATGATTCCTTTGGGCATAGTACAGTTCTCCCTGCACAAAAGGGACATAAGGAACTGAAGTTTATAACCAGACATTAATGTTTCTAAAATTATAAAAGCATAGAGCACCCTCTCACAGAGCTTTCTGAAACATAAGTTCTGAATGAATACCTTTTGGGTTTCCAAATAAATTATTAGTGTATGTGAAATATGAGACGTGTAAAGTGACGTCCTTCTTTCAGCTGGGATAGAGTTCATTTTCTTCCTGGTAGCTCATACAGTGCTCTGTTTTGGATTTAGGATGAGAATAATATTGGGTGAAATACTGAGGGTTTAGTTGTTGTTAAGCAGTGTTTATACTAAGACAAGGACTCTTTTGCTGATGTTGTCCCATCTGCAAGGAGGCTGGGGAACACAAGAAGTTGTGAGGGAACACAGCCAGGACAGCTGACCCCAATTGACCAAAGAGTTATTCCATATCGTGTGACAGCATGCTCATATTTAAACTAGGGTGAAAGCTGGCCCAGATGGAGTTGGCTAGGGGGAAAGAACAAATGGCTGTGTGGTGTTTAGCTGCTGCCCAGTTAAACCACAAGTGAGCTGTACTGCTCAGTGAGTAACAGCCTTCAGTATTATGACTAATTAATATCTGTTTTTATTACTCCCCTCTGCTAGATGGAGTGTCAGATGTTTTCATACATGCTACTTGTAAACATGTCAGATAAAAGCAATTTTCAAAATGTAAAAACATGATATCAAAGAAGTCATGGTGACAGCTGTATGCTGAGCTAAAGCTGTTTGTTCTCTTCAGCATTCCCTGTTCTCAGATTACTGATGGCTCAGTGCTCAACAGGATGATAGCTTGGGATTCACACCCCAAGAGGCCCAGTCCTCAATGTGCCACTCTGCTATACATTCTCATACCAAACACAGGATTATGGAAGATATTTCAAGGAGTAGATGCCCAACAAATTCTAGTCTAAAGCCACTTGCTTAAATTACAAATTTTCTCCTTCAAAAACATATTTAAACCATATTTTAATGGGCAAAGTTAACATTTCAAAACACCACTGAAAATAAAGCCATACCCATCTAGTACCCTAAACATGGCAATCAAGACCTAACCTTTTAAGCAGTACTAATTACTGTGCAAAATCTACTTTCAGGATTACCAAAATGGAGATGAACTAAACAAGAATGAAACAGAAGAGGAAGTCTGACACAAGACAAGCCTGTAGGAGACAAAGTAACTCTTCTCCCTGTTTGCATATACCCTAATTCTGAACTTTCTAGTATCTCCAGGTCTATTATTCAAGAACATTCATGTATGTTCTCAACTGTTCCTTTATCAGTGTTTAACTCTTAGTTTCTACTTTCTGAGTATCCCAGGTTACAGTGGTCTAGTCATTTCTGCTTAATGACATAGAAGCACCTGCAAATATATCAGCGTTGCACCTTGACAGTTGAACATGGTCGGTTGAATTTTGGGTTCAGTGCTCTATTATCACTACTATCAGTGACACTCAGGTTGCAGCAACTACCGAGAATGTCATCAGCTTCTGAAGAAACTGTCGCTAGTAAAACATAGAAGACCCTCGTTTGAAGAGCCGTTCATCGTTTCTGTTTTCCTGAACACTTTGCAGGTTCTGAGGCAAAACGAAACACTCCACTCTGCGCTGGAACTTGAGAGGTATAAGCCACTTGCTTCCCCTCCGAAATTTATTATTATTTTAAAACGAAGGGAGAGGAAGGAAGTCTGAATCCTATGTAACTACTGACTTTGGTTTGGATTATTTAATGAGGAATGTGTTCTCATAAGTCTGCTGGCACCTCTTTCTCAGGAAATGACTTTGAATGAGTTACCTAAATACAGATTAAGAGGTTTTTTTCTTAAAATATTTAGTAATCATAGCACAGTGTATGCAAGTAAGTCACAAACAGAAATGTCCAGAAGGTTCTTCAATTTCTGTTTAGTAATATTTTTGAAAAAAGACTGAATTCTCCTTAGCTTATGCATATATAATTTCAGAAAGTTTGTTGATCATCCCAGTATAATTTTACAATATTACTGTTCAATGCCCATTTCTTAACAGTACAGATATTTCTGAATATAAATAGCTGATTGCAGCCCATTTTATAATAATAGAACATGGGACATTGATGTTTGAATTGCTATACATAAAAACAGTCCAAAATTTAGTTCTTTGGAAAAGAATCAAATTCTTTGTTTGATTTACCTTGAAAGTATGCCTGTAAATGTCTCTAAATAATTCCAGGTGGGGATAGAGTCTTGGAGTTTTATGAAAAAACAATTTTTCTCATGGAAGGACTGCACAATTAATTAAGTCTCAGAATATTTCCATTAGCTGGATGTTGCATGTTTTCTTAGCTCTGTGCTAAGGATAAGTAATTTCAAGCACAGACAAACAACTCACTGAATTTCACACAGCAAATTGCAAGTAGTGGCAGAATCATATGTGAGGGGCTTTTAGCTTCCAGCACTTGCTTGACCTCCTTGTCCCTTTCAAGTACATTTACCTGTAAAATGTCAGTTTGAGGTAATGAAAGTTAAAAGGGCTTATAATGGGTTTCCAAGGGTCCTAAGTGTCCTATCTAGAAAAGCCTTCTTTCACTCATTAAAGTACAGCTATATATTTGGACTCCTTTCAATAACACGTTCTCCTACGTATCCCACAAATGGAAGTTGTACCTAAACCACAACACCTCTTCTAAGATGTATGCGAGTGGAGAACTTTTTAAAACATCAGATGCCTGAAGGGTTCTAACTGGCTTTAAAAACAGCAAAGCAGACACTTTAAAAAATAGGTTTTCACTGGAAGATGACTGAAAAGGAAACATGAGGACTGGAACACTTTTATTACCTTTGTCTAAAATAAAATAAAATAAATATCCCCTAAGTTTAATCTTTAGAGTTTCATTAGAAAATGCTAGTAATAAAATATAACTAATAAAAAAATAGTGGGATGACACAAAGTAGACAAGCCCTATGGTAAATATCTCATACTAATGTTGCAACTTTTACTTAATATATAAACTCCCCATAATTTCCAGCATATAAATTATTGTCATTTGTCTCTAGCTGTTGTCTACCACTCTACTATTGAATAGTCCATCTCATCTCTACACTTGAACACTTCTAGATTTTCTCAGCCCAAATCAGCTGGATTAGTCTTCACAATATAAATAAGCATCTTATACTAACCCAGATTATTTTCCCTCAAATGTTTGAGGAAATGCTTATAGACACTCCTTAATGTATCAGTATGACAGTCAGACAGGCAGAAGGGACCCAGATTCCATCTATTACCTAAAATAAATGGATTTACCACAGTGCAAATAGTGTCGTCATAGGGGAGCTAGCCTACTAGCCTCTATTATCAGGAGACAACACTATCTTAGTCCCATAACCGAGAATTCTCATTGTGCCATTGGGTTATTTATTTGATTTAAAAAATTTTGATAAGAATGCTTAAAAATCCGAAACCAGTGCTAGAAAATGGAATAATGGAATTCAAAGGCAGTAAAGGGCAAAAGCAGAAGAAATAATAGCTTGTATTACCTCATCTCTTTCTTAGCTTCCGTAGGTCTTTAAATATATCTAACTGGAGATACACTGGAAAATAAAACACACTGCAGAAGGCAGTTTCCCTCAAAGCCTGAACATTTAAAAAAATTCTTGAAACCACATATTTGATGACACAGTAACACTGAATATTTTAACATCCATTAATGACATTAACTTCATTTTTAAAAAAAATATCATTAATTGTTAGTGTGCTGTCACTGCACAGGTACAGCAGGCAGAAGACTACGTAGAAAAATTTATTAGTGGACCTTAGAGACAGGGTATTCTCTCTGTAAGTAGGCATATTTTTCTGCTGAAGTTCCCAGAACAGAAATATTTGCTGCAAAACTAATCTGTATAAGAAACTTGTACTGTTTTCATGAGCTGCGAAGGGCAAAGTGTACTCATACACTAGTCTAGCTGTAGCCAGACATGGGGTGACATGTATGCTCTGAACCTGTACCACAGTTTATTTTCTTAATTACTAATGAAACTAATAAAAGGAACTAATAGAAATGCTGTGATCTCTTCTGAGTTTTTTCCGATGTACCAACTTTATTGAAATTACTCTCCCAGTAAATTCAGCCAATCATCATAATGATTTCACAGTCATGTTGAACAGGGAAAGATGTGACAGTTGTCCAGAAACACTTTCAAGGACAGTATTACTTAACCTTAGTCCAAAGCCTACTTTATCTTCCTGAAAATATCCAAAGCCCACTGTCGTAGGGTACCTGTTGGAGGCCTTGGTCTGTGGGGGAAGAAAGACATCGACACACACGCTAGGATGATGAGCCAGAGAGATGTCTGCCTGCTCAGTGCAGCAGGCAGCCTTTTCTTAAGTTCTCTAACTTCTACTTTCCCACACATACAACATAAACATATTCCTACAAAAACACCCAGGAATGCAGCACCTGCACTCAACCAAACAGCTTTAACCTTGTACTCTTTATAACTCAAGGCTGTGTCCATGGGAACTATCTAATTAGCTCCACTGCTCTCATGGAAAACGGCCCAACACTTTGTAATATTCCAAACCCCTCAAGCTTCAGTTGTGGAGCTGTGACTTCACCCCACAGCCCACATCCTGTCATTAATGCCAATCAAAAATGTGGTCACAATGATTTCCAATATTTTAACTAAATAATGTTTAAGCTATATTTGAAATAATTGCTTGTTATTGTTCCTTTTTGCTAGCGTGGGAAAAGATGTGCATGTTGCAATGACTTTTTCACCCACCTTCTGATACCAGATAGTTCATGAGCACTTCACTGATCTAGGGTATCTTTCTGTCTCTCACTTGGTGACTATCTAGACTGCATAAGCTGCTGACCTACCAGCAATAACCATGTCATGTTAACAGCAGATGTAGCTCATCAGGACAGGATCTAAAGAGCAACAGAGATGATGCTAATGATCATTTCAGCTATGCACCTTTGGGCTGTGGCTGGTGTTACAGATTGAATGCTTGGTAGATTTTAGTGTGCTGGGTTTGCCTTAGAAGGACTTGAAGCATATTTTCATCTGAAAGGCATCAAATTTATGCACTCAATCACCTTTCCCTGGTGTAACAGCAAACCTTGGATTATGGGGTTGATCAGGAGACTAGCTTTAAAAACCCAACCCTAATCTAAGCACAAATTCTGCAGCAGATAAAATTAAGTGTTTCTTCATCATCATTACAAGACAATCAATATAGAAAAAATAATTCAAGTCAGACTGAAAGCTGTGCTGCAGAAAGTACTATCCTACCAGATGACTAACAGGAGAATGGGAAAGCCATAGAAGATACCAACTAAAACAACAATATCAGTAAATATAAATAAAATCTTCCATAGAAAATATCACATTTTCATTGTAGCCTCACATGAATGTGTTTTCAATGAGAAGTCAGACTGTTGTGCAAACTAACATTTTTAACTGAAAAATTGTCTATAATTCAATTAGAAAATAGCTCTAAAATATTTTCACTACCCACAGGAACTATAACAAACAAAACCAAAACCCAAAATAAAACAAGCAAACAACAAACCCCCAAACAACAACAATAACCAACTTAAAAAGCCCCCAGTTTTCTAGATGTCAAAGAAGGGACTCATGAGTCTGTTTTTCTCTAACCCTAGTCCTGGATTTTATACTACATAGCTACTTAAGCTCATATAGCTTTCCCTTGTATTGCAATGGATACATTAGTAAAATATAGATTGCATTATCCTTAATATTCTATGTTAATTTAAAAGCACTGGTATCCTTGAAAGAAAACTCACCATTCAGTAACCAAGTAACTACTGGAGAAGATACTTCTTGTTAACAACCTGGATATCATATTTCCAGTAAGAAAAGCTGTCAAGACAAGATCCTTCACCATCTAAGCATACTAATAACTGACTAAATGAAAGAGAACAATGTCTCTAAAACAACCTAATATATGTAGAGCAAATTAATATGTCTGAGAAAACGTCTTTGGTTAAAAGCATTTTTAACATAATTGTTCAAGATATCAGATGCAAGTAAACTACAGAGATTCATTCTCCCACTTATATACGGGGGGGATTTTGCTCTTGGGGACTATACTTTCATTTTTTGTGTGGTCTCTTTAACTATTTTGGCATCATTCAAAGAGCCTTGTAATGGAACAAATATGTTTTCTCCTTTTCAAAATACAGTGAAGGCATATACATGAGTGATTGCTATGCTTTTCTAAGTAGAAATACTTTTTATTATACAATAAGGCAGTGATACAAAGCAAGGACCTTGAGGAATAACTCACTCAAATCCATACTTCAGTTAGCATCAATATTAAATAGGGTTTAATGTGCAGCTGTTTCTTTCAGCTTTAATTTAATTTTATTTTGCTTAGAACAGACACTCTACAGTTGTAACCCCAAAATGCCATCTTTAATTATTCTCCATTCATATTTTTTTCATTGTGGATGCCCAATTTCTACTCAGCACCTTTGCATTTTCAGAGCAACCATAGCACCCCTGAAATCCCCCCCCCCCTTTTCTCTGTCTCTTTTGTCCGGTCCCAGAATTCAGGGCAGCTTTGGAATGAGCTGACATGCAAAACAGTAATTATCCCTCAGTCTGCAAGAGGAATTAAGACATCAGTGGAAGACTGGAAATCTAGCATTAGCTTAACCATCAATTTGTGCCCATGAACAAGACCCAGCTGTAGTGCTTGAAGATTATGCTATCCATTATGATATCCATTAGTGTTTTAGTTGTGCTGATTGACAGCCAGGTCTTTTGTGATTCAGTTGATGTTTGTCATTCACAGATACAGAACGATTACTTTGACATTCTTATTAATTGATTCAATGTTATTTAAAATGTTAGCTTGTAAAAAAAATAAAATAAAGGGAGGAAGAAAAACAGGCAGAAGAAGCATAAAACCCTCGAGTACTGTAAAATCTTACATGTGTCATTTGAAGTGACATATGCATGGGGTTGGGTGAGGGGGTTTTTTAACATTTTCTGATTATTCCATTATTTTCTGAGTGACTGCATGTTTAAAATTCCTTCAAAGAATCAAACCCTTTATTTTACTGTTATTAAGTTTTTCTGGCTCATAGTAGCTGTTGACAATTGCCTTGCTTGAGACATCAGCCCCAAGACATCTTATAACAAGATAGTAAGTGATACCACAGATATCAGAAGGAGCACTTACTGCTCTGAAAACTGAAGTTGATTAATGATTGATGGGAATGAAGCTTAACTATTCTAAAAGAAGGAAGGTGCAAATATCTCTGCTAAAAAAGTGTGCTTCATTTCAACAGCCTCCAACCTTACACAAAAAACACAGTATCATATGTAATTATTTTATTGTCTGAGCACTTATTAGGATGATTCATTCAGAGTACTTTTGATAAGCCCCAGAGTTAGACACAAGAATCAGTCTTATTCAGGATCTTCTTTTCTTCAACAAAAGAAACCGCAGCAAGATCTTTTCATGCTAAGCCCAGACTACTCTAGATTCCTAAGTGCCAAACATTAAAAAACAAGGGAGGTTGTCAAATGAGAAGAGAAGCAAAACTTACTCTTATCGTCCAAAAAATGGTATCTAATTGTTGTCAGTGGGGTGAGGATTTTATTCTAGATATTTTACCACTGAGCAGATGGACAAAATGTCTTAGCAGTGGGACTGCACAGACCTTCTCCACAGTCACATATATTAACTAAAAACACTTGAAAAACCATAATCTGCTCAGCCAAGAAACAGTTAATTATACATCCTTTAGCCAGCAATTCTAATTTGCTTGCTAATGTGTATAGGGTGGTAATTTTTAATTTTGTGGCAAAAAAAAACAAATAAAGAGAAATTAAAGTAGCACACACCTTGTGGTGGTACTCAAGAGAAGAAAGTAGAATTTCACCCATTTAGTGTGGCAGCTGAGGAAGACAACCACAAATAATTTTGAGTTTTCTGGTTTATGTATTAGCTAATATGTCCTTATGGTACTTTGCTGGACATTTTAAATCCTTATGCATCTTCTTGCAGTCAGAGTTAAATACGTTTAAAAATAT